TTTGGGGTTTGGGGTTTAGGGTTTAGGGTTGTGGGGGTTGGGGTTTAGGGTTTAGGGGTTTTGGGTTTAGGGTTTAGGGGTTTAGGGTTTAGGGTTTTGGGTTTGGGGCTTAGGGTTTAGGTGGCAAAAGCGCATCTTGTAATGAATCCGAAGATGCCGAAGCCGTCCATCCTGAACCATGCAGCCTTAGTCCCCAAAGCGCACGCCTTGAAACCGCAAAAAGTCCTACGAGCTTTGGCAAAACTGTGTAACATCCTGTGTCAGACCTATCAGCATCTTAAAGGGCTCCTAAACAACCTTGTCATGACATGCAAGACCCTAAACCCTAAACCCTAAACCCTAAGTCTAAACTCGATCCTCGTCGCAGCGGCTTTGGTCCAAAGGAAGGAACCCATGGAGAAGGCAGTGAGCCCGAGAGTAAAGGCAAGCACATTAGTTGGCATTTAGGGTTTGGGGTTTAGGGTTTAGGGTTTAGGGTTTAGCATAATTCGCACTGTCATGATTCTTAACTTGCTATATACATGTTGAGTTCTGGCAGTGCTGTTGCATGTGCTGCTAAAGGTTTACTAGTAGTGCAAGTATTGTTGCTACTCCTACTTTCACAGGATTCGGTAATCCCCGGATCGAAGCGTGCATTTGGAGTTTCAGCGCTTTTGCTTAGGGCCAAAACTATCCTGACAAGATCGCTTAGCGCTTTGCCGTTGACAGCGAAAGTTCCATTGCATGGCTTCGAAGATGCCACCCGTGCTACTTCACCTGGTTTGGCTGCTTACCGGCATGTCCCTGGCGCAGGAAGATATTGACGTATGCACCCACATCAAGAACAGATTGGGCGCTGAGACGTGTGTCGATACTCTTCAGTCTGGTTTGAAAGGTTTCCGCTTGAGCGGGACTGTCGAGAATCCTTTGAGGTATGCGGGCCTTGGCTTCGATGACAACATCGCAGGGGGAGCCACCCCTGGAGCCATGAACGTCTGCATGCTGGCCGCCTTCGGCAACGGTGGGGTTGTGCCAGAAGCCTGCGTTCCCACCTCGGGGACCGAAGCAGCTGAGTGGAACGGACGCCCGGGGTTACACTACTTCGGCATGCTTGGCTTCCCTTGCGGCTTCAACTTCAGAGCCTTCGAGGAGGGAGAGACCCTTGACTGGACCTTTCCGACAGGGAACACCTGTATCGGGGACGTGGATTTAGATGTCGGCCTGACATCCCTGGTCTGCATGTTTGAAATGGCCTGTGAGCTCGGAACTACGACCACAACTACTGCCACAGGTTTTGCCATAACGAGCACATCAACAAACACTCTCTCCTTGACAAGCAGTTCGACAGCAACTCCAACTACGAGAACAACGTCCATCTCAACAGCAACAACACCACCCGGCAGCACAACGATGTCGACATGGTCAACTTCGACGACGACATCTTCTGCCACGTTTTCCTCCACGACGGCCATTCCCGTCATGTTGACTACCGCGCCCAGCACTTCCTCTACGGTCACGCTCACAGACGGTGTTCCGGTCCTGCTGACTACGACGCCGGCCCCTTCCTCCACGGTCACGCTCACAGACAGCTCTACAGTTGCCTTTACAGTCACTGGCACCACTGCTACAATTACAGAGAGTGTGACCACGACGTCCACCACCAGCATGCCCGTGGCGCAAACCAGCAACACCTCAACGACGACATCAATTGCTAGTCTGGGAACATCTGTATCAACGATGACAAGTACGATCCGCACGACCACGCTCACAAGCACCATCGAGCTGTTGGTGTCACCAACAAGCTCTTCGCAATCCTCCAGCACAATGACTGCCACTGGCAGCGATGATAACATAACTGAGCCACCTTGCTCAGAGGCCGGTTCCCAAGGTTGCCACACGGGGATCATCTGAAAGTAGCCCCTAAACCCTAAACCCTAAACCCAAGACCCCTAAACCCTAAACTCTAAACCCTAAACCCCTAAACCCTAAACCCTAAACTCTAAACCCTAAACCCTAAACCCTAAACCCTCGGGACAGATGTCATCCTTAAGCCCCCCGGCCGTCACACAGTTCCAGGCGCCGGTGGTTCCCAACAGTGCAGACTTGACCTACTGCCGCTGGGCTGCTAAAGTAAGTTAGGGTTTAGGGTTTAGGGTTTAGGGTTTAGGGTTTAGGGTGTAGGGTTTAGGGTTTAGGGTTTAGGGTTTAGGGTTAGCCGACGCCCGCAGCCCCAATCCGAACATCGCAAGTGTGGATTAAACTCTAGGCCGAAACCTGCTATGCCTGAAGGCCTGAATTTATTCTTTGTCGCCCACGAGTGCTCTAGTGGTGCCGAAAAAATCACCCAGTCATGGCATGTATGTGAGCTTTCATAGGCACGAGTCGAAACCTATGATTATGACGAACAGAAAGACTGCTGCGACTATGCTTAGCGTTCAGGGCTTGTGTACGGTTGAACTTCAAGCATCACACGTGTTCTGATCAGTACGAGCGACACACCCAAACACGCCATTACTACCGATTGCAATCGACCTTGCCGCAATGCGTTAGGCACCACTCGAACAAGATTGAGACAATAGTCATGTCCCGGTACTGCACGAATCATATCCCACCGTTCCGCAACGATACGTTCATATTCCCGCCAATGCACTCGAGGAAGCTCCCAAGGAAGGTGTATCGACTTGTTGCTAACCAGTAGTAAGTTTTTGGTCCTGGTTTCTCAGTCTGTTCGTGGTGGTCGTGGTCGTCGTAGTCGTCGTAGGTACTAGTAGTAGAAAAAGTAGCAACAGCAGCAGCAGCAGTAGTGGT